CCCCCGGCACACGCAGCCTGGCCTCCCTCACACTGCAGGGTCGTGGGGCTGCGTGTGCGTCGGGCATCGAGGAGAACTGCCAGGGTCCTTTCCCGAGTAGCGTTTTCCTTTGGGGCTACCCTTTACCTGTCTCCCGGTTTGTTTTTGCAGACCTGGACGAGGGGAATGTCTTACTGCCTCCACTCAGAACGCCATTTGGATACTGGGCCAATATACGTGCGTGAAAATGGGAAGCTGCACGTGGTAAATCAGGGTACAGGCAACATACGGAATGACATCCCCAAACCAAGATCTTTTAGGCTGTTTTCCAAAGGATTCTCTGTGGAGCTTTGTATGAACAGGGATGACGATAGGGCAAGGAGGCAGAGGACTGATCATTTCATCTTCACGTACACTAAGGAGGGGAACCTCCGATACTCTGCCAAGTCTCTCTTCAGCCTAGTGCTGGGTTACATTTCTGACAACGTTGATCACATTGACTCGTTGATTGGTTTCCCAGAGCAGATTGCTGAAAAACTCTTTTCAGCTGCAGAAGCAAGACAGAAGTTCACAGAACCAGTTACAGGACTGAGAGCGCTACAAAAGTTTACCGAAGCGTATGGCAGTCTGGTGCTGTGTTCGTTATGTTTGCGGAATAGGTAAGTGCATCCAGTAACGAACGCCAGCATCTGCTAGTGCTTTTTGCAAGCATGCTTCAGGTTTCCCTTAAATGATCTTCTCTCAAAAATAATACAAAAAATCATGGGCCTTATGACACTGCCTAATTCTAATCAAGTGACCTAAGCCTTGACTCAATTCTTCTTGCTTCCTTTTGTCCCATTTTTTCCAACAAGCGTAGCAGATAGCTGTTAGTGTCGTTCTAAGATACAGAAGCATAGTACAGGTAATAGGCTACTTCCATGTTAACTACGGTGGGATTTTATTTAAAATATTAAACCTGCAACCATTTAAACAATAATAATCAGCGCTTGCATAACAACTTATGCGTTTAATACCTTCTCAGGAACTTCATGGGATGTTTTTGTAATTGCTGTTTACAAGCATTTCAGCGTACTTAGCTGACCATACAGATAAAATACAGCTTGACAAACTGTCCAGGTTTGTTTACTCTGAGCTTACTGTCCCATTTCATTTGGGGGGGGGGAGGGGCTCAGCAAAAGATACAGTCTTGTGATAGGCTTTGAAGACAGACATGTTTTAACTTAGTTTATTGTGGTATCTATCCCCATATTTAACACACACTAATGGGGTTGTTCTGATTAGAATCCAGCACCATTTTTCTGTCTTATCCTTGTCTGTGTTTTCTCTCAGTACAAGAGAGACCTGCCATAATTTAAAACTGGGTATGTTTTTAAAGCTTTGCTCCTACTGAAGTCCTTCCCAGTAATACAACCAGTCTATCCTCTGTCTGTACACTGTAAAAAAAGGGATGGTTTATCCTGTTTAAAAATCAAAGTACAGACATATTCATGTGAAGTGCCAAGGGTGTTTTGAGCAGAGTAGGAATGTTTGATCAGAGGTCAATTATCCTTTGTTTTATCCTTTAAACCTACTCCCTTGCTATCTTTAGTGCAAATCCTTTTTATGGACTTAATTCAGGAATGAAGTTACCTATGTCATCTTGTACCATTACAGGAAGCTGCGTTAAGTATTGAAACCCAGGAAAAGAGATATTAAGGCATTTTCTGATGAATCTTAATTCTAAAACAGCCCGCTCTTCTCTTCACACACCTTCTGAGTTAATATTATCTATCAGGAATTATCTTCTTGCACGCCAGCTGTACATACTGCCTTCCACATAACTGAATTGCATGACAAAGGGATGTGGTGGGGTAGTTTAATAGGCTCTACTTGCAATGGGAGGATATTTTAGTCCTCCCCTCACTTGCATGGGCAAAGAGGTGCTTCCTGGAGGGTGCAAGTCCGTTAGCATCTCTCATTTCAGCACTGAAGCTGTTAGTTTTCCTCAGGGATTGTCTTGCCATGCTAAATACAGGAGAAATCGGTGAGGTAGTAAGTGCAAGCACAGGGTTAGTGCCTATCTATTCATGCCATTCTTCAATAGTCTGTTCCCATCTCTGAAACACCTACTGAATAGTTCCAGCACAGATGTTTGTGTGGCTGCAGAGTGAATCAGACCAGGGAACCAACCCAGCTAAAAAAATAACCTGCTGGGTAACCATTGCCAGGGGTGCAGTCACAGCTCTAGTTGGAGTCCTGCACGTGTCCTGTAAGACACTTGTCTCTAGTGAACTGTTTTACCTGCAGATGTAAAAAGCAATTTTTACCCTTTGGTAAGCAATGCTGCTACATCTAGAGACGATTTTAGCACCGGATAGATGCAGTCTTGTTTACACATTGGATATTGAAGAGGAGCAATTTGGGAAGTTAAGATTTAAGATCAACTAGAATATATAGCCCATGTTATTTTGAAACAATCTGTAAAGAAGTCCCTAACAGCAGTGTTTGCAAGTTGATGGCTAATTCCTAGTCCAGTAGTTTGAGTCAAAGCAGAACCATGATGTTGGTTCAAGTAGAAGGCTGGGAACTCAGATGTGTTGCGTGCAGACTGCAGCACAGAAAGGCAGTTAGGACAGCTGGCTAATTTCTGGCAATTTTCACATAGGCATTAACGTGAAATGACAGCAGGATGCTTGTGACAGTTGAGGATCTAGGACCCTTTTTACATGTCTAAACATGAATGGCTTTTTGCTCTTTACAGATATCTGGTCCTCTCTGAAAAGCTAGAAGAAATTAAGTCTTTCCGGGAGCTGACTTCTTTGGATCTCTCCTGTTGTAAACTTGGAGATGAGCATGAACTGCTAGAACATCTCACTAAAGAGGCTCTGTCTAGGTACTGATTTCCTGACATATAATTAGTGATATTTTCTTTTCCCATCACTATGCAATTCAAAGAATCAGGCTGCAACTCTCAGGAAAGTTTCATAGGCAGCAAAGTACAAGTGTGAAGGTTTTGGTTCTTCATAAAATCTGTTCTTGAGATAAAGTACAGAATTTGTTGTACACAAACTACAAATCTCAAAAGGCCCTACAAATGCACAAGTGTAGAAGTATCAATTTACTGTCTCATGTTTTTAAATCAACTTCCTATAATCTCAATTTTCCATGTTAAAAAAATGCATCTTGAGCATTTCCAACAGCTTTAGACTTCTACTTCCTTTTTTTTTTAAAGGAAAAGTTTATCAGCCAAATTTTTAACTGAACCAATGTGCCAGATGATGATTGCTGCAAGCACTAGATTAAATATTTTGTTAATTAACATTTAGAAAATAATTAGGTAATTTTGACTGATACTAAAGTTTGACAGGTAAAAAACTGTGGAAATCAATAGGCAGGATAATTGCTGCTAATTAACAAATGTCATGTTAACCTAAGACTTTGATGCATTGTGAGTCAAGATTTTGTCTTGAAGTGCTCTGAAAACATGTTTTATTTTTTTCCTCTGAGGTTTGTTCATCTATGTCATAATAGCTCACTGTATACTTCAATATCATTGCCATATCTCTTACCAAATCTGTCCTCTCTTATTCTGCCAACTATTTTTCTCTTTTTAGTTTTGAGTCAAGTTGAGATTGGCAGCCTTGAGTTAATAACTTCAATTTGTAAAGAACATTACTGTCTGTGAGCCACTGCTTGTGCTCTAGGATTGGTTTGTCATTGGAGCGTTAGGAGTAGCTAGTTGAGAAACTGCTTCTGTTGAGCTAGTAAAGGGAACATAAAAACGTTTGTTAGCCCTACCACAACCCAGGCTTCTTGTTTGGTGCTTTTTATTAATACTAACCAAATAGTAGACTGAAGGCTTGGCAGAGAAAGAGGCCAGACTTTCTACATAGACTTCTAAGACATTTTGCAAAACCGTCTAAAAATTTGACTATTAACTATGGATTTGTATTTCTCAGTGTAAAAAGGCTCCTCCTGAAAGACAACTCTTTATCAGATGCAGGCCTTCGGAGAATGACAGCACCAGTACGAGTATTGAAAAAGGGACTCGAGAATCTTTTGGTATTAGATTTGTCTTGTAAGTGCATCGTGGTTTAATATTAGAAGCAAGCTGTACCCTTTTAAATTAAGAACTTTTCCTTCTTAATATTGAAGAAACACAATCAAGAACTTTTCCTTCTTACTATTGAAGAAACACAAGCAATTTAGTGATTCCCATGTGCCAAGTACCCAACCCCAGGACCCAGCTTTCCAGAAGCCAGAGGTTGTACCTATCGTCTCAGCCTATTGCCACTGAAATCAGTCTTACCACTGAAGTAGGAGAAACAGGGCCAGGCTTCTAGCTGGCATAAATAGAACACTTAAAGGAATATCTGTGCAATCCAAAACAGATTAAATTTAGCCATTTCTCTTTCACTTACGAGACTGAATAGTGGATTTTAAGTGTTTTACAACTGTCTGGTAAGATAAATGGAGATATCATGTTCTATGGTAGTTCAATCTTTGTTTGACTATTAGGCATGTAAACTTTAATACAATTGCTACTGTGCTGTTCATTCTCTGCCTGGAAAGCAACAGGATTTTGGGGGAAAAATTAATATACGTAACTAGTGACTGTACTATGATACCTGCACAAAGACATTCCAGTTAAAATTATTTAAGTAACGTTCATTGGGTGCTTGTACTTGCAACCTCTGCAGTTTCTTGAAAGTAACTTTTCCTAGAGTGCTTTTGGAAGCTCTGCTTGTGCGTCTGTTTACCCATTCCTCAAAATGCTATTACAAGTCGCGCTACAAAACTGATACATCCTGCAGCTCATGCCGGAAGGTTTACCATAGCATGCATTATTAGCATTTCTGAAATCCAACAGACAGGCTAGCTTCCACTACTGCTTGTATAAACATTCTGAATAGTTTGAGGAGAGCTATTATAAAATTTGTATTGTGATCATTAGAGGAAAAAAAAATTTCGTCTCACTTTCAAAACATGAAGCGTATTACAAAATGGCCCAAAACCCCCTTGTTTAAATATTAACTTTTAGAAGGAATAGTTTCTTGGCATCATGACCATCTTTCTCTACGTCCTGCAACTCAGCTAACTTTACTTGACTCTATAGGTAATCCTAAAATCACGGATGTGGGGATTGGATACCTTCTTTCTTTCAAGAAATTGAATTGTTTGGATATTTCTGGAACAGGTCTCAAGGTAAAGGAAAGCTTCTGTCCAAGTTTACTGGACAAGCATAACCAAATGTTCTTCCCCACTTACTGTTTTATTTCTCTTTTTACAAGGATGTTAATGCAGTCATTAAGCGGATCCAGATGCAGATAGGCCTCATTCATTCAAAAGTGCCTCTGAAAGAATTTGATCATAGTAACTGCAAAACAGAGGGATGGGCAGAGCAGGTACGTGGTTTTTTAAAATCCATTTTACTCTCTAGAAATTGTCCTTGTGTGGCATGAAGTCACCGAATAGTAAAGAATAAGGGATAGAGTTGTTTCCATGGTATTTCTATAAGCTTTTTAAAAACGCTTCTTTTAACTCCTTCAAATTTCATTTCAGACAGTTCTGCAGTGGGAGCAGGCAGTTATGGAGGCCATCAAACCACAAGAAAATTTGAGATCCAGAACAGCAGCTCTGCGCTTCTGTATGTACTGCACTGAGTAGCTTATTATTTTGGACAGGGAATCTTTTCATACATCATTACACGTATGAGATGCTGTCTGTACCAAGAAACTTCAGCCATCTGTGGAACAGTATTACAACGTGTGTGTTTTTTCATTTGTTAGATAGGTGGATAACTCTCTTAGACAGCATGACAAGAGGCTTAAGGCCACATTTAATAACAGAATTTTGTTATTTAAATAACAAAAAAATTGTTTTTCTCCTTAAATTTCTAAGTACAAAATAGAAATGTTCTTTTCCCTATTTATATTCCAGCAAAGCAGTCTGCATTCCAGGTTGGCATAGTCAAAGCAATTTGCAACACAAACATGCATTTTTCAGAACAATTTTGTTTTGACCAAATCTGAACTTGATCTTTTCTTCCTTTTTTTTTTTTTTTTTCTCTCCCCTGTAGATGGCAAGACACACAGAATAGAGGAAGTAGTCAAATGCAAGTTGGTGGAGGCAGAAACAAAAGCTTCTGGAAACTTGCAGTTTTATAAGGAAAAAATTCCAAATTGCCATTTACCTTTGAAAAAGGAGGTTGCAGGCAGCCAGGAATTAAAGAACAGTAAAAAAAGAGGTTTGGCTGAACAAGAGAGAGAAAGGACTTCCAAACAGAAGCATCTGTGCCTCACTGTGGAGGACTGGGATTTGTTAAATACCTACTGACTCAGAAAGAAGTGGGTCTGTCTTTGTTTTCTTGCTGATGACAGAATTTAGACATATTGAGAGGGAGTAACATAAAGGAGACCAGCATTGTTAAATCTGGTTGCTGTTCTATACTAGCGAGTGAGTTGCTTATGCTTGGGGAGGGGAGGGCTAAAGTCAAGGAGAAGGATAATGATACTACTGTATATTTTCAATACATAATAATTTTTCAAATAAAGTTTTTGTTGTCATCCTTAAGTCATTCTTCTGACACATATAATTCAGAAAAATGGTTGGTCCTATGCCACCTCCTCCTCTCTTGCCTCCTCAAGGACAGGAGGCTAATCATTGCACCTCCTGATGAACAGGGTAGAGGGGTTTGGTTTTGGTGACGTTGAAAACATTCTAGGTGCCGTGGTCCTCAGCCTAAAGCCATCACTTGGGCAGCGAGCACAACTGCACTGTGCTTGTGAAGTGCAGTGGGACTGTAAAGGTGCTGGTAATTATATAAACGTCAGCCTGTAAGCACAAGGCTGTGCTCACAGAGCTCCAACAAAGGGCAGAAGCAAACAGGTTAAGCACAAGCCCTGGGGGGAGGGAGGCAGAGAGGCGGTAGCCCCCAGGTAACATGGTTATTGCAGAAATACCAAGCAGAAGTCCCTTATCTCCCTCCTTTTAACCCAGGAAACGAAAGCTGAAACTGGGTTACTGTAGAGATTAAAGCGTACAGCTATAATATACCCTCAGTTTAAGCAAATTCACCTGCACTTTAGAGTCTTCTGTGGTTTACAACTTGTTTTCAGTGTGCATGCACGTCTGCAATGTCCTAACTGTATTTCACCATCTAAAAGCATTCAGAGAAGTGTTCACTGACGTATACTTACTTCGACAACAGACCTAGGTACTCAGAATCATTCTGTGTTGGTCTGTTTAAAGCCAGCAGTACAACTGTAAGGCTACATTTGTTTGCCCTAGAAAGCACGCAGGGCAAGAATTCATTCAAAACTGACCAAGGTGCTCAGTGCCCACAAGCACTAGGAAGCACCACTCATTTCACTGTGCCCTTTCAGGCACAGTTTACTATAGGTTTCCTCTACTAGTGCTTATTTAGTGGGTATCTTCCTTTTATGCAGTTGTTTGTCATACTTCAGCCGCAACCAGCCCCAAATCAGCTTTGTTGAAATGTTAGAAGACTGGCATTTTCTAGTAAAAACGTGCTGCTCTCATGATTTGATTTAGACTAGAAGCTTGAAAGTGAGAAATGTTTACTTACAAAACTCATAACCTCTCTTCTGAGCTGCAGCACTAAATACACTGCAGTACTGTTTTACAGACACAGAAAGCAAGGCATCCATCCTAGCTAGGTATGAAAGAGAACAGGTAATTAAATACAGATTTAAAAGGTTCCCATAGTACCTGTTCCATTATGCAGAATTGTTACCATCTCATTCAAGATGAAGTATGAGTCAGAATACAGTAAAGCTATTTTTAAAAGATCTTTCAGATGTACAGCTGTATCCCAGTTACAAATTAGAACAAACATTCACAGTTTATACAAGTCATAGCGACATGTCACATTTCAGATCACAGGACAGAGAGGAAATGAGTGAACTGGTTTTTATATTTAAAGATACGTGACCTGGGTTGGTGGTGGGAAGAATATTGCCTGAAGTTTATTTTGGACTTAGAAAAGCGTGTGCGCTCACAATAAATGTTTCTCAGACATGATGTTTTAGACACAAAGTTTTTCAAAGGAGCAGAAGACAACTACATCTTTCTTAAATTTCAGTGACATGTCTGTATCTAAATCCTGAGGACTGCTTCGAAGGTTTGCCTGACTGATCCTACTCTACTCGCACAGGAATTAAATGAGTAAAGAATGGATTCCATCATGCCCACAGCCACCCCAGCAGCAGATGCGACACTCAGCTTTCCCCTGCTCACCACTCCAGGACAGTGACTGGCCTTTTTTTTTTTAGCTTTTTCCTTTCTCACTCTAAACTCAGGGCTAGACAAACTCATGTCACTCAACTCCACTTGATTTGCCGTTCAGGATAGGTTTCAATGAACCTTCACAGTCCCTTCATCTAACTCCCTTCAAAGGCACCAGGGTTTCAATACAGGAGAAGCACCTCAGCCAAGATTGGCCAGACACAAGTATGTCCGTGTTGGCAGCAGCTATTAAACAGTCTCCGTCCCGCACACAACCAGCTGATGTATTGAATCTATGTTGCCTATTTTAAATTTATATTTTTTAATCTCTCCCCCCACCACCCCCCCCAATTCCAGCTAGAAACAGTTTTACAGCAACTGTGGTGCTGGCTAAGCTTCAGAACTGGCATGTTTTTAAACTCTGTGAAGAGCACAGGGTCTGTGCAACCCAGTTTCACAGAGCTGGGAGCTCTGAAGATGCTAAGGAAGCTTCTTTCATGGTGACAGTCTTCCTCATCTAGGCTGTAAGGAAAGAGGATTTGCAGAGAGAGGAAACTAGGGTCATTATTACTCGTGTTTCCTCATTTCTTTCCTCTCCCCGAAAGGTCTACGAGAGGGCCAAGACTCTGTATTGAGTGCTTTGTCTCTCCAGTAGAAAAGTCACGTAGAAAAGACTCACCTTCACATGACCTGTGAAGGTGTCCCAAAATTCATGTCTAGCCTGCAGCACTGGTTACCAAGGGCAGCACTTCTGTCCCTTTTTAGTGTTGCTGCACGCCTACTAGAACTGCTGATCAGGTTATGCTCAGGTTAGAGCTTCAAGAGCGGGTGCCAAAGCAGGAAGACAACAAGGCTTTAAGGTGACAATACAGAACGTGCCCTATGGTATCCAACATTTCTCAGTGCCAAAATTTCACGGTTTGCAGATATACTCATCAGACCAACTTGCACAGTGCTGGATGTTGTCCCGGCACAGTCTCTTCGGGATGCAAGTGCAATACTCATAGAGCACGGGGGTGCAGCTCCACCACTCAGATCCACAAGGAGGGCAGGCAGCCACTGGGAGGGAGGAAAAACAGGGATCAGAAATGTTTCTGCATCTGTGAACTTACCACAGAGGATGCTGACTTGATGCTACTTCTAGAAGACAATCAGGGAGCATGACACTACAATGACCTTGCTGGCACACATGCCATGCTAAGAAGAACAACTAGCTGTAATTTTTTTTTTAAACAAGCTATTCTTGAGAAAGCTGCTGATACACATGGGTCTTGACTGAGGTTCAAAACCACGAGTGATTTAGGCACAAACCTACTGCTCGTTTCAGTGAAAGGTGCATCTAAATGCCCTAGACAGCGTTCACTATACGCACGCAGGTACGTTCAGTTCTCTTTGGCCCCTAGAGACATACCTATCTCCTGGCCAAGAATCAACAGCTAGTTCTGAATTATTGCTGCTGCCTACAGTTAATACCTCAAGATAAAATTGCTCTGTAGTCAGCAGTCACAGAGGAGGAATGACTTAGGGGGTTGGGAACAAAGTTTGGAGCTTTTCCCCTCTCAGTTGCTAGTCTGGCAGTGGCCAGTTGCTGGTAGTGGAGATTATTTTGGTGGCCATTAATTCCACATGCTGGGCAGAGGGGTGCTGAACAAGACGATCCCACAAACAGTGGGCTTGGCGGAGAGGAAGCCATAGGCTCTCAACTCCAGTTTTTCACACCGAGTCCTTGATAGCTGACATGAGGGAGCCCACATGCTGCTTACTCACGTCCTAGGTATTTTTCTTATTAGAGGATGACACCAGTCTCCAAGGTGACGTTTTGTAGTGCCATCAATGAGCTCCATGCCCTTAAAATGCTATCTCAGTCAATTAGCAGAGAAGGTCTTTTGCCTAATGGTAGCCAGCAGACAGACTTACAGCTCTCCATCTCATCAGAGCAGTCCCCGCAGTCATTCATCCCATTACACCTCTGATCAGCGTAGATCCAGTACGTAGGGTTACTGCAGCGGAAAACCAGGTATCCTGGAAGGCTACTGGGCAAGTCATCTATAAAGCCAGACACACAAGACACAAGCTGAACTCCACAGGGCACAGATCAATCTGTTGAAACAGTGACCCTAGAGCCCAGACAAAGTCTCCCAGGTTTATCTTGCTCACGCATGAAGCTAGAGATGAGAAGCAGGACTACAGGGACGCTAGGCACTCTGAAGAGCTGGCTCACTGTAGGAAGAGCACCGCTGTGAGGATGATCACAACAAAACTGCTCACCACAGAGTTTCTCCTGCTCATCCTCTCCATTCCTGCAGTTCCGGATTCTGTTGCAGACCTGGCTGGCTGGGACACAAGTCACTCTGTCATCGCACAAGAAGCCTGTCTGGTTATTAGAGGCTACACAGAAACGGTTCACTGAAGGGAAAGCAAGAAATATTTTATTTTCAGACATTTCCATGTTCGCACACAGTATGAGGAGCAGATCAAGGAGAAGGAGGGGGATTTCAGAAATTCATTTGTCATTCCAGAGACAAGTTCTGGCCCCTGGTTATCTCCAGTAGCTTCACAGCAGACACCAGCAGTCTGAAACATGATTGTACCACCCAGAGTTACTGCTCACCCACTGAGTGGAAAACTGGAGAAGAGGAATGGACTGCGGTGACTCAGGCTGCCCAGGGCTGACACAGCCGTGCACAGCCCCTCTCAGGCTCTTTCCTTCTTGCTGGTCTGCACAAGGAAGCGCATCTTCACACACCACAGTCCCACATGGGGACACTGCCAGAACATAGCATAAGGGAGGAAAAAACACACCAGGAAGACTCACAGGGAAGAAACCCATTTATTCCTGTGAAATACCAAGGCTTACAGCATCTCTGATCTGCCGGGTTACTGAAAGAGCAGAGGAAAGCATAGACTCTCTACATTTGCCCAGCAGCTTATACTCTTACCAGGCATCGCTTCTAACAACCACTGGAAGCGGGACTGGGGGCTAGAGGGACCTGCGCTCTGACCCGCTATGGCTCTTCTCAAGTAAGATCGTTTCCTGCCCACCTCTTATTTATCAAAAAATAATGAATCACAGGAGACCAACCTGGTGTGCGTGGCGGGAGTCCCAACGTGACCGCCAAGCCCACGACAGCTGCGACGGCAGCGAGGACGAGCAGCGCCACGGCACAGATGCAGACACACCTTTGGGTGCAGCCCACGCAGGCGCTGCCTGCCAGGCAGCAGTCTGTGGGGAGGCAAGGAAGCAAGACCTGGGAAAGGCTCCTGGGGGATCCGGGAGTGCTGAGCAGGGCTGGGGTGTTTTGAAGAGGGAACGGCATAGGAAGCTGTGAGGGTGACATTTTAGGGGGCTCTGCGCATGGGACTGGTGATGTTAGATACCTCCTCATAGGAAAGTATATTTCTCGTACTGCCAAAAAGGTCTACTCTACTTTATCAGAGCAGGCACTGGGACGTAAAGCAAAAACAGAGCACTTCTGTCAGAGAGCTTACAATTTTGTTGCAGCACCACAGAAGTAAAACGCCACAAAAATCCCTGCTCAGCAATGTGAGTAGGTCAGCATTACACAGGCACTGCTGCATGAGAGCTGTATGAACTGGTGAAATGATTCAAAGGCAACAAAGTGCGGTTCAGGCTGCAGCACCTCCTTCACCCAAACTACTCAGAGAGCAAGATGAAGAATGCTACTCTCCAGCGCTACACTGCAAGACAATGATGCTGTTTTCACAGGGGAGAGCAGCTGAAACACAAAGCAGGTAAGAAAGCTGGTTGGTGGTGGCTTGGAAGAGTGCCCTCCTAGAGTCCAAGGCAAAACGCTCCAAGAGGTAGAATCTCATTTTGCGGCACCATGGCTTTTTGCTCCGACTAGGACCGCCAGTCTTGTCTAACGCTCCCTGCAAAGAGGCTTAATGATCAGTTCAGAACACTGAGAACTGGTTGCAGAGCAGCCCTCCCCCTCCCCAAGACCGCAGTCATCACCAGGGTAAAAAAGGTAACAGCCTTCCAGGGAGCCTAACCTTAAGAAAGTTACATACGTAAATCAAGCAAAATCCGGAAGTGAAAGGCCAAAACCACAGTTATTGCAACACAAAAGCAGCACACATAAGAGCAAGGCTATCCTGATCTCAGCTCCCTGCAATGTTAGCGCTTTGTGTTTAAACCCAGCATTGTGCTTTCTTGGATTCCTGCTTATTTCTAGAATAACAGGAAAAAATGAATTTGATCATCTGAGAAACACCTGCAACTGCGTAAGGCAACCTTGTATATACAAACTGATTTTTTATATTTCTGAATATAAAGAGCTTTGACCAAAGAGTTGCAATTTTTGCCTTAACCGTGTTTTCTATTCACCTACTTGCTCTACGTTGTACAAATATAACTAAGGACAGAGCCTTCGGCTGCACTGCAATAGGGTTCTGGCTGCAGTAGCCATACTCTCCTTTATGTTTGAACAGGAATCAAATGCAAAACATTTCAGCTTAGAAAGATAAGCAATGAATGACAGGATATCTGCGTCTACAAGACAATACCTTTGACCACAAAGCAGAGCAGTTGCAAATAGGCTTTGAATATGAAAATAATGGAACGATGAAATGCTGTTGCAACTTGATATACAGGTTTGCTACTGACTGTATTTGATCTCACCTTCTCATTCTTAAAACGGACAAGATCTGCTGAAGTTTGGCTATTAAAAACACAGCAGGCATACAGAAAGCCTGCATGTTCATCATGAGCCTTTTCTGTACCCAAACAAGATTACGTATCATGCTACTATACAATACCGTAAGACTGCCAACTCCAGGCCAGCAACAAGTAGCTTACTCTATTAATTTTATACTCTGGCTATTTCACTATAAGCAGCAAAAAAACAAACAAAACCCCAGTCTCAATAGATTATAAATAGAGCCTGGATTTTACCTATATATATTTCACCTATTTATAGGCAGAGAGATTGTTTCTATTGATTTACACTTCAGCAATAAAAATACTGTTACGCATTTTATTCATTACCTCTTTCTTCAGAGAAGGACTTTGTTGAATCAAAAGTAGCTACATCAACATTTCTCTAGAAGTAAAGAAATAAAACATACTGTTAACAGAAGCAGCACATGGTAACCAAGCAATTTATGTTTTTCTAGTGCTTGTCATCTTACGCAGGAATATATGATACCTCCAATTATTTTTTACATACAAACAAAAAACACTTCACTGGAAACGTGGCACAGATTTGATTCACAAAGCAATCAAATTACCTTTTAAATCTCAGTCATCCATTCATAAAACAAGCACTAATTCAACTCCCGCACTTAATACTTTTATATCAAATTAGGTTAAGTAGAAACAACTAGAAATCTCCCAGAAACAAGTGACAAAGAGACAAACAACATTACCAAGAATACATACACCTCAGGAAACAGTCGCATGTAAGATTTTTCCAAAGAGCAGGACTATACCTGGGGGTGAGTTTTGTTCATGCTTCATAGAGCTAGAGTCCTCACAGCAGAAAGGACCACAGGGAGTTTTCTGCAGCCTCGAATCCAGCCACGCTGCCAGGAAACCCCAGCTCTGACGTGAGCCAGCATCGGCCTGCATACTGCAGTTACCTGGCTACAAAAAGAAACAGAAGTAGGAAAGCAAGTGTGCTACTGTCCAGGCATGCAAGGCAGCAGGAGGGGACAGGAAAGGCAGTATCAAGTGCTTTTCTCCAGCTCTGGTCAAAAGCAGTCCTGATGCCTCTGGTGTGACACCTTGTGAAAGCGCTGCAAAGCCCCTGACTCTCCCTTGCAGGTCTGTTTTTCCCTGCTCCCCTGCGCACAGATCTTCCCCAGCAGCCGGGGCTGGGAGACGGCACTGAGCAGTCGGAGGCAGCAAGGGAAGGTCTCAGTCCTGCCCAGAGTATCTTGACCGTGCATCCCTGAGGACACAGGCTCTGCTGCTCCGCCACGGCAGAGGCGGACCCAAGCTTCCTGGGCCAGGGCAAGGCAAAAGCCATTTTCCCCACACACGAGGGGCTGTTCTGCCAGAAGCATTGCCCAACCGTCGCTGAAACTGAGCTAAGGAGCCCTGATGAGGGGCAGAACAAAATGGGACAAATTCTCCTTCCAGCAAAATCACTTTTAAGGACAACTTTTGCTTGGCCAGCGAAAACTATGTAAGATGCAGAGAGGGTTGCAGGTAGCTGCTCACCTCTCCTGGCTCTGACTCTGCTTCACTACAGAGAATAGGCAAATCATGGTTCCAGATGCTGAGAACCCCTTCGCCACTCCTGACACCGATTAGAAAGATGAATGCTCGATGCTCCTGGAGCCCAGGCTCACACCCCAACTGATTTCATTCACCTTGGTACAAGTCAGAAAAGCCCTCCTTCAAAAGGAAATGCAATGAAAGCTGAAGAGAAATCAGATCATCTTCATACAGAAGTCTCCTCTCTTTCTCTCCCCCTCCTCCCCAAAACCAGACTAACATACTGACCTCATAGCAACGTAAGCTTAGACTCCTGCAGGATGATCAGATCTCAGCAGAGTTGTGCAGCGTACAACCAACTGGAGTAGCTTCCCCAGCTGGGGAGCGAGCACAGGCATAGCAAGTTCTCCAGAGTCATTCCTTTTACTCGCATAGTTGAATTTCCAGGCTTGCAGTGGATCTGAGGTCAACCTGTAGATAACATAACTTACAAATAGATTAAAGCCTTCCAAACTGGCTGAAGGTTTTACCACAGCACATGCAGAGGGGAATTTGCAACTTCAAGGATAAAATGCCACCTACAACCTGCTTCACCATGCCAAGTGCCTCCAAGCTGTTGCTGCCTGACAGGTCACGACTCCTCTCTGAGCATCAGCTAAACTAGGTCAACATAACTTTGGTGGTAGCAGAGAAGTTGGCACTGAGGACCCCTGCCCCAATTCAGCCTCTCAACAGCACAGTAATTATTGTCCAGGGCTAAAAGCTTAAAATCCGGTCCCCAAAAGGCTGGCACTAAATTATAACTTGCAGAATATGGTCAGAGGGAAGAATACCAGCTACACAAGCATACCAAGGCCCCAGACGTCAAAAATATTCAGTAGAATGGTTTAAAGAAATACTCCATGCCATAAAGCACCAGCTTGTGGGAGGCAGTCCCACCAAGTACTCCAGGTACCTCATGCCTGCCTCTGATCTGCTGAACTGCGTCCTCATCCATGAAAGGAACAAATAGTTGCCTCGAATGAACTGATTCAAAGCACCAAACAATACCCAGAATAGCAGGACTTTTTCCTCCATATCCCTCTCTACTCCCAAACATGCAATCCATGCAACTGATTATTTAGAAATAACCTTGAAGTAATATGTGCTTCTTGACAATGGTGCCTGCCAACCCTGCACTTGCCTGTTCGCTGACCAGCTAGAATTAAACCTTTAGGAGTTCCTACTTCAGCATGGCAAGACCAATTCACCCACAGCAGAGGCTTCCCATAGGAATATACCATTGTTAAAACTTTGTGCTGGGAAGTTCTCCTGTTCAGAGGGGAATATCGGGCGAAAATACCAAAACCTGAGTAGCCAACAACCTGTGACTCTGGGTGCCCGCTAGATTATGGAAGAATGACAGACTATGGACTAAAACCTGTGTACCTTAAGTTCTGTTTCTGTTTAAAGAGGAAGTTTTAAGTTTCTAATCTGTTTTGATATAGCAGGAGTATTTTGAGCCTTCAAAAAGTTTATTAGGTGGTAGCGAGTTTGGGATAGTCCCATGTAACAAGGTCAAGCAGGCCACCTACCCCATACCAACAAAGAACACATGGAATGATTCCAGGATAAGAATTACAAGACTTGGAGTAAACAACTCTGAGACAAGTATCCATACGCCCTGACATCCTCCAGTCTATTTTCTACATCCAGATTTATCAAGTTCAGCTGTAACCTACCCAATACTTGCGTTTTAGAAGAGAGTTAAACCACAGATCCAAAGACTGCTAGCTCAGAAAAATGAGAAGCCCTTCCCGTACCAAGAACGAGGTAACAAACCCAAACAAGCCCTTCTGAAGTACAGAATCTTTGCCTAAGATCACAGAAGTGGAAGACAGAACACAGACTATGATATCCAGTGTGAACGAGACAGACTGTCAGTTCCAGGGCCTTGAAAAGAAACAGAGAAGCCACGGCTATTTCTGCCAGTAATGAATTGCACATCACGTATGGCAGATACCTCACTTGCGTCCAGATGCCTCCACCTAAAATCTGATACAAGTTCAAATGACCACATGCCTAAAGAGAATACAAAATGTTTTCCTGTTGCAACTTCAACACTTTAAGGCCCTTCATTTAAACAGTGGTCTGTGGGGAAAGATTAAACCCAAATTACAGCCTTGGAAAACAAAGACTTCAGTTACACATTAAGTTAAACATTAAAAAAAAGTCAATCTATGTTGTAAAGACAAATGCCAAGATACTTTAAATATTCTGTTTAGGTTAGATATCCTTAGACACAGTTCTATTATTTCAGCCTAAGTAGTATCTGATCTTACTACAAGAAGATACTTTGAGAAGAGCTAACAACTACAATACTTTCCAAATTCTTTAGGCTCTGGCTCACTCTAGAAACAGTAGTGCCAAGTGACAGATTGCTACAGGCAGACAAACAGTTCCCTGCGACCTAATAGCACATTACTGAATCACTGCCTTGACTGTATTACTTAGTTGAAATGTCATTACAGAGCGGAAAAAAAAAGACAAAAGACGTAAAATTTTTTTTAGATCCATTTGTTGAGCTTTCTCCATTTTGTTGTAGAGGTGTAGGCAGATACAACTCCAAATAAAAACAGAAGTTGTTTAACCCAAATCTAGGAATTCAAGCAGTATTTTAAGTCAATCATTTTGGAAGACAAGGGAAAGTTTCTTATTCATGAAAGTCATCAACGTAACAGAAGCTCTATTATACACTTTTAAAGCAGGCAAATAGCAAGGTTTTCATGAAGCTATAAAATGCTCCTTCCGCAACTATATATAACAATAAGAAAAAAAAAAAAAACACTCCCAATATTTTTAGCAGACTCCAGAAACATTTACAGTGTTAGTTATACAGTCAGAAAAAACAAGGGGATTGCTCAAGTCTCTCCTGGAAAGTCAACACAGAACAACTTAGTGCAACAAATACCAGCAATAATCACTAAAGCAGAGCCCATACCTACCAATTAATTTTTGAACATCCATTGCATAAATTGCACTTGATACTGCTTGAAGCAGAACACTGGCACTCTGTACTGCAATACGATTGTAGAGTGAATTTTGCAGCATAGGAGCAGAAGTGTATGTCTCAGAACTGAATTATTACTGCAGGCCCACCACTGTATCATGCAAGTGAACAGTGTTCTGAAAACATCCTACAACCCATTTTCACAACAACATGCATGTTTGAGGCCTTTGTAATAACGCTAGTATGCACAGAGGTACCTGTCAAGGGCTGCTGACACCGACATTTCCGGGCCATCATGTTGTCACACTGAAAGACAATTTAATGTCCAGAATTTAACGACCATTAAAGACTTCAAATTATAATTTCCGCATTTTGATATAAGACTGGTTAAAACAACCATCTCTCAATATCTTAAGCGTTATTGACAAAAACTGCTCGAGTGCATCCAGGCTGCAGTTTTTAGCAGCGCTATATAGGCCACTTAATGGACGTTCCTGCATAATGGACCCTGCAAGGGTCCATCATCTACAGTTACACAACCGTCAGCATTACAGCTAAATAAGCCATGATTATTGAACCAGTTTTGACAACAACAGAACAACATACTGTATCCTCCAGAATCTCTAAAGTACAGTTCTCACCAGTTCCTCCCCTAACCTTCGAGGGCTTTCTCTAATCAACAAAGTATTTCCATGACAATGAGTTGAGGATCATGAATTTTAGCCAGCTTTCAAACACATACAGAGACATTACAATAAAACACATACATCCCCAAATTGTGAACGCTATGGCAGCCAGCATATACTAATCTTATTAAAGAACTGCAAAAAATATATTAGGTATCTGGGGGATGTTAGGTGTTGTCATGTTATTGACTTGCACAGCAAAATGAGGTCACATTGCCTATAAGAGGAATGGTCCAGACAGGCTTTCCTGTCGAATGTTCTGTGGTCAATAATTAACCATAGCAAAAAGCTATACAGTCAATGCTTTATATACAGTCAATTTTATTTGTCTGTTCTCATTTCTCAGAAATCAACCTGTTTCTGCAAATGAAGTTACAAGACTAGAATAGTTCATCAAAAACAGAAGGAAGAATTTCTTCAGAAAACACAAGCTCTAACTTTACAAGCAGTTTAAGACTTGTAGGCTAAAGTTTGACAGAATAATTAACCATGTTATGTTCTACATATGTGAAAGGACATGTCCACAAGTTTTACTAAACGTTCCCATTTTTGACAAACGGAGTTCTAACCTACAGTACCTCACAAATGCTTTGCATCTCGGATATTGCCACACTATAGAAAAAATATATTTCTATTTTTGGAGAAAGGGTTGTTTGTGCATGGGCATTAACAAGTACAAAAAAAAAAACCAAAAAACAAAAAACCCCCAGCAGATAGTTTAATAATATTTTCTTTTAACTACAACGGAAAGTGCAACACTAAAAAATTATCTCCTGCCTACTTAGAATTTCTTATACCTTTACAAAGCTAACTCTGAATGTACACATTACATCCTAGAACACACAAGTAAGTTTGAAAGTGTCACGGCAAAACTATGGAAAGCACGCTTACAGACTTTTGTAAGCAAAAAGACACATCATAGCAAACACCAGTGAAAAGTGATTATGTCTGGAAACAAACAAATTCAAGACGTCTGAATCTTCACTGCTAGTTGAAAACAAAATCCCATGACATTTGTTGATTCCGTAGCTTTATTTGCATTTAAAGACTGGCTGCTAAGCTTCTTATCTGAAGAACCACCACAAATAATCAGGAGTTGCTAGCACTGTTAGAAGTAGTCTATTCAGTCCAACGAAAACTTATCTAGATTGCTGATTGAGCCAAATTAACTTTTGTAGGAAGAGGTCCTGCTTCTTCATGTTCCTCAGTCTTGCATCTAACCACAACAAGTGCAGAGGATGGATATCTGTTCATTTTTTGTTCATTCATGTATTCCAAGTCTCCATAGATGCTCAGCTTCTGAAATATTTAAACAACTTATTTTAAGATAAAGATGCTTGACATCAGGGATAAAACGCATTTCATTATCCAACTATGCACTTGGTTTTGAAGGCTGGAACACAACACAAGCTAATCCAGACTTTTAATAACATATGAAATTCCTGTTTGAAACTAGACTGGAGTCCAAGAAGGCGGCATTAGATCTGCCACAACAGTAAATACAACGCTTGTATACCAGCTCCTTTAGTTTGAAAACGCTGAGTCTTGCTTACTTCAGAAGTGCAGGAATTTCTCTGAGCACTGAGGATGCTAGCTCAATCAGTTCTCCTCTGATCAGACTCTCTGCGCTCATCCATACATGCTGTCACTTCTATTTCCACCAGTCATCCTCCTAGATTAAAACCACACTGGCTTCCACCTACATCATGCAGCCCTCTGTATAGCTTTCTTTCCAGAGGCACTAGAGGCAGCCTCCATCTGTCAAGAGTAATCTGAAGGTTGTCAAGAGAAGGATTGCAGTACAAACCAAAAGACATTGCATCTGGGCTGCTCAGAGCTCTTATCAGCCACAAAATGAGTAATATTTGTTCAGCCATAAAAATCACAATTTGGGAAACGAGTAAGAAATGTTCAACTATAAAATCATCATTTAAACAAACGTGGCTTGCTAACAGCTGCAAAATAAAAATCCTTTCCAATTGAAACCCCATCCCCCCAGATGTATCTTGCTCTCTAGACAGTTTTACCACGTAAGTAATATAATGGATAAATGCAAAACATTGTAAGTTATAAAATATAGTTACCTCAGATGGAACATACTGCTCTACAGCTGTAGCAACAGTTGCACAACAAATCCAGAGCAGCACCAACACCGAGAGGACGAGCGTAGTGGTTAAAATCCAACTGGAATTCCTGAAATGAAAAGAACGTTACTAAACTGAATCCAACAGAATGGACTCTCTAGAAAGTTCTGCTCAATTTGGACCGCGCTTCATGCTGATTTCCT